AAAACAAAATTTTTATTTAAATAAAAAGACAGTTGACTCTGCCTCCTTTGCATTCTCTCAACGAAACCATCCTTGCCTACTGGCTCCATTCACGAACCCTGGGCGATGGTTTCAGGCCTTTCCTCACCAGCTGTCATGGAGATGAGGTGAAACAAAGAAAGCAAACACGTGTTGCCCAGTGCCTGTTAGCTCCGTCTTTAAAAAAGTCTGATTGGAGACTGTTTCACCCTACAAAGGAACCATGAGGCAGGGTGGAATGAGAAAGCCTGAGTCACTGACTTTCCTTTGAAACCTAAATTTATCAGGGCTGCGGCCACTCTGGGCATTCTTTTCGAGTGACTGTCGATGATCCATTGACATTTAACAATAGTACAGACTGAGAAGAGAACACGGTGGTCCATCTGCGGCTGTAGGATCAGAGAACCAGCTTCATTTCATCAAACTGGGGAGGGTTCTGTTCATCTTTAGACTCACCAGGGACCATGTAAACTAACGTGAAGATCCTAATGCAGAGCCCAGCATAGGTGGGGCTCAACAAGGTCAACTCCCTTCTCCTGGGGAAGGGTATTCTAGGCAGAGGGAGTGGCTCTTGTAGAGATGAAAGCAGATGATACTGCACCTCTGGTAATGGCAGTGAAGTGAGACTGCAGAAAACCAGCCCTCTTGCTACATTTTCACAGGACGTACTTGATTATCTGTATTAGTTAGAATCAGGTCTACAAACTTCGTTTTTGGAACTGCCTCTACAATGCCAGTGTACTGCTTGGCACATACTGCTCGTATGACTCTAAGACGGAGCTAACGTGGCATGTTCTCGCCCTCCTCGGTGAGACCTTCCAGGTGCATACAGACACAGCTTACACAGCACATCAGCGGTGCACACTGATGGATGTGGATTGGAGGATGCATCGGTAAGCCCCAGAATTAAGGATATATTTAAATAACACACACACACACACACACACACACACACACACCCCGCCCCAGTGACCTACCAGTAAGGAGCTGCACTGTAATCTCAAAGGTACATGGTTTGAATCTACCAGGTGCTCCAGGGAAGGAAGCTGGGCAGTCTCCTCCCATGTGATTTATTGCTGCTGAAAACCCGCTGGAGGGTCAGCTACAGTTGGTTCCGACTAGACAGCACCCTTAACAACACTGCAATCTCAGCTAGTACGAGTGCTTGGTTCTTCAAAAACATGAATAATTTGGAATCCTAGACTGGCCTAGTGGTAAGGAGATGCACTGTAAGCCTAAAATACAGCAGTTCAAATTCACCAGCTGCTCCACAGGAGAAAGATGGACAATCTCCTGTGAAATTTGCTATCTCTGAAAACCCAGTGGTGGGTCAGCTATGGGTCAGTTCTGACCTCAATGATACTTAACAGCAATAGCCTTCCTTGAGAGAGCTTTCTAAGGACTTTCATTGTCTGGAGGGTCAATGAGTGAGTCTTTGTGTGACTCAAAACAGAGAACAACTAGAGCCTAGAAGCTCTCAGAATACCCAAGATACTGTTCTTTTGAAAAAGGGCTTCTAGCAAAAACTCAGGACGCTAGCAAAAAAAATTGAGTCTATCGTCAGTGGATAAAGATCACAGTGAAACAACCAAAAAAATCCAAACTCATTGAATCAATTCAGAGTCACAGTGACCCTACCAGACAAGGCAGAATTGTCCCCACAGGGTAAGTTCACAAAAGCAGACACGGCCACTTCTTTGTCCCATGGGGAACCTGGGGTGAGTTCGAACTGCTGATTTTTCAGTTGGCAGCACTGCACCAGGGCTCCTTCTCTCTTGGAAAACACTGCACTTGTGGGTATTAATGATAATAGCCATTTTATCTATAGCATTTTCTATGTCATCCAGGCCCTGATACTGTGGAAACCTTGCTGTCATCTAGTTGATTCAGACTCAGCATCTTCAACTACTCGACAAGGCAGGTTCTCTGGCCATTTATTTCCATTTTATAGCTGAGGAAACTGCAGAGGTAAGGAGTTCCGCTGTCAAAGGCTGAACATTCAGAGCAAAACAATTCTATTTGAGTAGGCACATGTGCATACAGTCTATGGCACAGTGTCCATGGTTCTCAAGCATGGCTGCATTTGATCTTCACCATGACACCGAGACCGGTACTTCTCTCCTCTTACCAGCGGGGAATTGGAAGCTAAAAAGGCTGGGGATTTGCACAGAGTGTCACAGTGGAAGAGCTAAATCCCAGGATCAGAACCCAGATGTTAAGCTCTTTGCAAAAATTCTAGGGTTCTTGGATGATAATCTTAAAAAAAAAAAAAAAAGAGAATCTGTTGACAAAGAAAACTTGGAATTTGAAAGATGTTTTCATCGAATAAGGCGTTGGCTCTTAAGTTTTGTTTCTTAGCTTTGTTTTCTTGGGTAGTATAAAAGTGGTCTATTCATTCTCTAATTTGGAAAAAAAAAATGAACTCCATGTGGTGATAATGCATTTTAAACATATCTAATTTGAATTTTTTTTTGGTACTCTTGAGCGATTTAGTAAAAGTTGAACTAAAAAGACAGCTATTTGACAGTGCTTGCAGGGGTTGCAAAGGATTTATTCTCTAGAGATCAAACACCACACGTGAGAGCTTTAAAGCTTTCATGCCACAGCTGGTGGGACCATGCCCAACTGATCTTCACTATTTTCCCTGGGAGGTAAGGCCTGCCAGGTGGTGGAAGCACCAAACATCACAGACCCTGGGAAAAGCCCTTGGCAATCACAAGAGAGAATATGTCTCTGCTGAAGCTGAAGCTTCTAGTAGCCGAAAAGCTTAAGGAGCTCTGACACTCAGTGAAGCTTTGTGACTTCTGCAGCTTTGCACGAGCCTATGAGAGAATGAAACTCCAAGCAACGATGAGGCCCAACTAGATGTGAAGATCTGTACTCAATGATGATGGATGACCATTTATAAGTTTGTAAATTCTTGGGTAACTTTAAAATCTTCCTCTAAATTATCATCTTGGAAGAAGTGCAACCTGCGTGCTCCTGAGAGGGTGGGATCAGAGGCTGTGTCTCACCCACTTTGCGTATGTTGTCTGGAGGGGCCAGTCCTTGAAGAGGACATCAACCTGGGAGGAGAGGAAGACCCTCACGGAGATGGACTGACGTAGGGATGAATCGATGGACTTGAGCACAGTGGATTGTGAGGAAGGCAGAGGGCCAGGCAAGGTTTTGATCTGTTGTGTACGGGGCTGCTATGAATGTGAGTCAATTGAAGGTAGTCAAGAAATCATTATCATTCAAGCATCACCTTTTCAAAGATGATTTGGTAAATCGTCATCTTTTCAAATAAGCCCTTCATGTGAGTGACCTCTTCCTTGTACATTACATATTTTCATCCATTAGGTGCGTGGATGAACGAGAAAATGGGGGCTCAGAGACACGGTGCCAGCCAGGACCACACAGCAGGTGGGATGTGAGTCCCAAACAGTGTTCTATAACCAAACACACACTCCCTTCAGTCACCAGTGCAGTGTTAAAGTAATAGTTTCACTCTCCCATGGAAGAAAATGTATGATGGAGAAGTGGCCAAATTTTCTAAACTACATCCACAAGCAGTCTTTGTGGTTCCCAGGGAGGGCAGTTCCATTTACCATGTAACAGTTAATGAAATGGCAAAGAGCACTAAAGAGGAAATAAACAGTGTCATAGTTCAGAGACTCAAACCTGTACACTGATGGCAAATGTCACTGCATATAGAGGAAGCAGGGAAAAACCCTCATATGATCCTCTTTGTATGCTGGAGACTGAACTTTTTATTTTTCAATCCTTTTAGGAAAATCAATTCCATTTAATAAACCTCTGCACCACAGAAGCAACGAGGCCCCAGATTAAGTCGTGACCTTAAGAACAGACCCTCTCCTGACTGAGGGTCCTTTGTAGACCACCTCACAGTTTCACAGCATGTTCCATAAAACGAACCCTTGAAAAGGCCAACTGTTTTCCTATCAGAATTGTGCCTGTTTCCCCTTTATTTAAAAAAAAAAATTCACAGGAGCAGAGTACTTACCTTTATCCATTTAAAAACAAACCAAAAGCCGTCTGAGAGAATGAAATGCAGGGAGAGCTGTGGAAGGAAACCCTGACGTGGCACCACACAGCCTCAGACACTCGTGTGTCAGCTCTGCCAGCCCAGGACACACAAAGGGAGCGAAGGCGGCCCCTGGCACCCCACCCACCGCCTACGCTGTTTTGCCCTTGTCAGGTGTGTGGGAAGCAGAGACAATAAAAATGGTTTTTTTACATAAAAAAGTGTGAAACAAAGGATGTCTGTAATGGCTTGTCATCGATGTCAGGCTCCCTAATGGGAAGGGCCTGGCGGAGGCTGCAATCAAGCTTAACACACAAACCCAAAGCTTCAGTTCCTCTCCCCCTGCAGCCTGACGCTGAAACTTCAAAACAACGGCACAGTCACCAGGGTGACTGCCAGTAAAACAAAAGCTGGCTGTCTGAACTTGTGCTCAGTCGTACGTGGTTGTGCTCTAAGGCAAACATTAACCTGACGGTTCTCCTGTGCTGCCGGCCCACTTCCCTTCAGTTCAGAATGCACCTGATGTTGGCACAGAACCAGGCGGTGGTCACCTCAGTGACAAGAACACACCGACAACTCCCACGTTCTTCAAATCACTTCTTTTATTCTATGAATTATGGTGTACATATGAGTTGATTTACTGACTTTTGCCGCTGTGCTGGAGTCAAAAGTCAGACACCGGCAGGCTTCGAGTATATTACAATAACTTGATAAATAATGTCTCAGGAAAGGAAGTGACTTCTTGAGAAGAGGTGGAAGAGGGTGGCGCAGAGGCCTGGTCAGCAGATGTCCACCTGCCCAGGAAAGCAGAAATCTCGTCTCTGCATCTGCAGAATGCCGGCCCCACTCTTGCAGGGGACAGGGTCAGATGCAGCCTCTCCACCAGGTCCTGAAGGAATCCTGAACCTCTATTATCTGCACAAGGATAACTGCGCACAGGGGACCAGAGTGGCCATTAATTTATCAGCGTTTTCACCATGTATGGTCCGTGTAACCTGTAGCCAATCTTTCTGTAGTAATTCCTGGTGCCGACCCCTGTGAAGAAGCAGAAAAACAAAAGTTAAAAGGAGTGTCTAAGCATCGTAACTTTAGCAACTCTCCAAAGTCTCCAACTTCCGTAACAGCCTTACACACATACACAGCCTTCACCCCCTCTGAGTCACAGACCAAATTCCATTTCAGATAGAATCACATTTTAATAAGTTTGGGAAATTCTATTACTTCAAACTCAAGCCGTATTAAAGTGGAGAAACTGCTGTATGGAGAGAAATAAATTTCTTTTCTTGAGTTCTAACATAAACTCAGGGTATTTGACACACAGATTTAGAGAGGATGGCAAAATGTGCATGCTATGCATTTCCAAGCCCGGAAATTTACAATCGTGTTGGCACCGTGAAGGACTGCTTCTGATATTACAGGTGAATGGAAAAAGACCTGGACTTAATGTGGGACATGCCAACACTCCAGCTGAAGCCACACAATAAAGTGATTTCCCACAAGTTTGAAAGAGAAAAGAAGTACAGGAAAATGCGTTTAGACAGCTGCTAGCATCAAAGATGTGTGGAACGGAAAGGAACCTGCGCTCTCGAGTCACTGTTTCAGCAAAATATCACCAAGCTCATTAAATTAATGCTACTTCATTGGAGGAAGACTCATTCACCACCTGCATTATCCAGGTGACAGAACACGGCTTGCAGAAAGTGAAGAGAACCTGAAACGCTTCCTTGCCTTCAGTATAGACTGTGTCCCACTATCAAGAAAACACAAATCCTCACGACCAGACCATCTGATAGATGCAGAAAAAAAGTGAAGTTGTCAATGATTTCCTTTTCCTTCGATCTACATTCAATATCCTTGGTAGTGGCAGACAAGAAATCAAAAGATGTGCTGCCCGGGGAACTGCGCTGTAGAGGACTTCTCTAGAGTGCTACAGAACAAGGATGCCAGTTTAATGATGAACGTGTGCCACATCCAAGCCATGGCTTTTCCCAATGGCTTCCTATGCATCTGGAAGTGGGGCAATGAATAAATAAAAAGGAAGAAGAGTTGCTGCCTTTGATCTGTGATGTTGGAGAAGAGTACTGGATATCCCACAGACTGCCAAAAGAACAAACAAGTCTGTCGTGAAGGACATATAACCAAAGTGCTCTTCAGACAAGGATGGGGAAACTCCATCTCACATCCTTCAGGCTTGTTGTTGGGAGAGAACAGTCCTTGGAGAGAGACATGATGTTGTGAAAGGGGGAGAGTCAGAGAAAGAAAGAGCCTCGACAAGACAGACTGACATGGTGACTAACAATGGCTTGAGTGTATCAGAGATCATGGGAACGGAGCAGGATAGCATAAGGTTCAGATGTGTTCACTGGGTTGCTGTGAGTCATATTTGACTCGATGGCACCTAACAACAACAAAATCAAATACATCTGATTCTGGCTTGTGGAGACCCTGCTTCTGAGGCTGTAAATCTTTATGGGAGGAGACTATCCATAGAAGGAGGCTGACCATCTTTCTCTGGAGCAGCTGGTGGACTCAAACCACTGACCTCTGATTAGCAGCCTGACATAAAACACACTGTCCCACCAGGGTTGATCTCCCTCACCCACTAAAAGGGACCTGATCCAAAACTGGGTGAAGGGCTTTGAATAAACATTTCCCCAAAGAAGATATAAAATGGGCAATAGGCACATGAAAAGTTGCTCAATATCATTACTCAAGCGCACTACTTTCTGGTGGAATCAAGTCACAGCTTCCCCGAGCCCCTAAGCAGGTTTCTGGAGGCTGTAAACCGCCTGGAGGACACTCTGCCCAATTGGCTCCCCAGGGGCTGATGGTGGGTTCGAAGTGCCAGGAAAATGCAAACAACTTGGGTTAGCAGAGCAATCGCCTATGGATTCCACTACCAGATCAAAACCACAGTGAGGGGTCACCTCAATGCCACTAGAAAGATTATGATTAAAAAAAAAAACTCACAGAAAGTAATAGGTATGATTTGTGAGGATATGGGGAAAATGAATCCTCATCCACTGCAGTTTGGAAATTCTTTAAAAAAGTTAGATCTAGAAGGCTATGACCCAGCAACCTAAAACCTAGGTTACATACTCAAAAAGTGAAAACAGTCAGGCAAGTAGAAACCTGTACCCCACGTCCATAGCAGCACTATTCACAATAGCCAAAAGCTAGAAACAATGGAAATGTCCACTAAAAGGTGAGTGGATCAACAAAATACAACATAAACATAGAATGTACAATTACTCAGTCACAAAGAGAAATGTTCTGATGAATGTCATCACTTACTGGAAATGGCTCAGCACATGGCTGGGTGCAACCATGCAAATGTGAGGTGTTTGTGGTCCAATCAACGGGATGGGGCAGCTTGCTAATAATGTAAAATGTCACTCTGGGTGGGGCCACCGAAATAAGATGTGTAGGGACTGGGCAGAAAAGAGAATCTCAATACTATTTAAAAAAAAAAGGGAAACTAGATCTTCAACAAATAGTGCTGGCAAAACTGGACATCTGCCTGTAAAAAATGGAAACAGGATCCACAACGCACACGACACACACACACACACACACCCACACCCCACCTCAAGGTGGGTCAGAGACCTAGAGGCAAAGCCCCAAACCATAAAGACCCTAACAGACAAAATGAGAACTTAGAAGGCCTAGCCTATGGCACAAGTAGGCTTGCAAATACAACGAGAAATGCACAATCAGGAGAGGATAAAATCGATGAATGGAGCCTTCTAAAATTAAATCCCTCTGTGTATCAAAAACTTTTTCCAATAGGATGAAAAAAAAAAAGATTAGAAAAAAAATTTGGCAATGCTATCTCAGACAAGGGTTTCATAATGAAAGTTTACAGAATACTACAGAGATTCTACACGAAAAAGACTGACAACTCTGTTGTAGAATGGGCAAATGATATGGAAAGACTTCTCACAAAGGAAGACATTCAAATGGCCAATAGATACATGAAAAAAAATGCTCTAAACCACTAGCAGTCAGAGAGATGTAAAAAATAAAAAGAGAGATTCCATCTCACATAAGTAACAGTAGGAAAGTTTAACAGGACAGCAAGCAATACATATTGGAGATGATGTGGAGAGACTGGAACTCTCATACCTCACTGGTGGAACGATAAAATGGTACGACCACACCACAAGACAGTCTGGCGTTATGTCAAAAAGCTGAACATAGAAATCCCATATGACTCAGCTATTCTATCGCTAGGAATAAACCCAACGAAATGAGAACTGAGACACGAATGAAAATATGTGCACCTAGAGGAAGTATGTTCCTAGCAGTGCTATTCACAAGAGCATGAAAATGGGAAACACCAAAATTCCCATCAACAAACAAATGGACTGAAATATCATGGTACATTCACAAAATGGAATACTATGCAGCACTAAGGAACAATGGTTTAATAAAATACTGTGTAACATGGGAGAGGCTGGAGAGCATTATGCTCAGTGAATTAACTCAGTCTCGTTAGGACAAATACTTTGTAAGTCCTTTGTTGTAAAAATAGAAGGATAACCAGTAAGATGTGTATAAATATCCAGAAGGGGAAGAGAAAAAGGAAAAGGGGCAAAAAAGGGGAAGTCTGGAAATCACTAGGATAGTTGGGTTTAGTGGGCAGATGGTGAAGGAATAGGAAAGATTCAATGCATACTCAAAAAGAGGGAGTAATAAGCATAGATCAACAGTAATTAAAGTACAATGTGTATGATGAATGAGTGTATGAAACAATGCAAATGAAAGACTGTATAAAACAATGTACATGAATGAAAATACAATGTAAATACAAATTTAAAAAAATGTTAAATAAAAAAGGAGAGAAACTAAAGAGTGCAGCACATTCTTTGAACGGTAGGTTTCTGCATGAACTAGAGACAGACAGTGCATGATGGTAATGGTGGCAGGGACTCAGAGGTCAGTGAAAGATGGGCGTGTGGGCTCCCAGCCCAGAGAGGTGGCTCTGTCTCTCAACCCACAAAGATAGAACATCTTCAGGCTTCCTGGAACCAGAGGGGTGGCAACTAATTGAAAGAGCTAAAGAAGCTTTACAACACTGAACTGAGCAGGTTAGGGGCCAAGGCCAAGAGGCTGAGAGAGAGGTCTGTCTGTGAGCACACACCAGAGAAGAGGCTTGTCCCAACTATACTGAATCCTTAGTGTTCTAATTTGTAACCTGTTTATTTCCTAAGAAACCTCGTAATTGTGAGTATTGCCTGTGGATTTTGTGTGGCCATTACAATAAATTATCAAGTCCAGGACAATTAACGAGTACACTGGGAAGGATGACAGGTATCAGAATTGTTAAAAGCTGTGAAGTGTGGGGGACATCTGACCTTTCCTAATTCACTTTGTGATGTTAATGGGGAATTCCCCCCTTTACCCCTTTGGGGTAATGAGGGTAGGAATGTCAGAGACAGTGAGATTGGCACAGGACAGAGCAGGGCTTAGGGCTGTTGCACATAGGGTCGCTATGAGTCGCAGGTGACTCGACAGCACATAGCAACAACAAACCCCTCAAGTTAGCCTGATCTATACTGCCTCCCCTGTGTCAGCCACACAGGGTTGATTTTTTTTACAATAAATTTTATCCCCCTCCCCCCGTTTTTAATATTGTGAGTTTAATGCAAGTTTACAGAGGTTTACAGAGAGGTTGCGTCTTCATTATTGTTGCACATTTTCCTCCCTTGTCCCTTCTACAGTCCACTTTGCAGTGCACTTCTTTTCCAGATTTTTAATTGTCATACATGTAATGCCCAATCATACATCATTCCTTTCAGTCCTTCCTTCATCTGTTCCAATACAGTGTTCATTATCTATCCACTCTTTCCCTGCTCTCCCTCCCCATGTGTCAGTCCTATTTATAATAGCAGCATTGTGCCATATTTGTCCTTCTGTAACTGAGATATTTCACTCATCATACATCTTCCAGGCTCACATATGTTGTGCTGTGTTTGATAAAGTCATTTTTTTTCAATACTGCGTAATTTTCTGTTGTGTGAATGTACCAGTTT